TAGCACATAAACTGTTTTCTAATATTTGGAAGTTAGTCATGTTTTGATTTTTGTAAGAAAGCTTGTTGCTGCGTTTTCTCTGTAAAATAAAAGGTCAGGTACTTTTTCTATTGATATACATCATATAGAAATCATTTTGCATATAGGGACCTAAGGTAAAATTAGTAAAATTATTATAGTTGTGTGATTGTTTACTGAATTAAATTTGTAAAATAATTTTGAATTGTCTATCTTTTGTGTTGGTGTGGTGATTGAACTGATAAAAGTTTACCTTTGTCTAGACTTTACAAATCTAAAGATCTACACATAAAAAGTTTAGAACACCGATTCACCTCCCCTCTAGATGTTCCGCAAGCATCCTGTAAAAAAGCCACTTGCCCAATATCCTAATTTTCTCATGCCGGAGGACAAAATCATAAAAAGATGTAAGCTTATAGATTCTAGTTATGTCTATGTGCTCTATAATTAAGCTATAAAGTTAAGAACATAAAAACATGTTAAGTCTGTTACTTAACAACCATATCTTGACTTAAAAATAACAACAACAAAAAAGAAAAGAAAGAGGATGAGACATTAAAGTATGAGACTTTGTTGGGCAAGTGACTTCTTTATCTAGGATGTGAAAGAACACCTAGAGAGGGAGGGGGTGAATAGATGTTTCCATATTTTTTTTAAACAAAAATTTACACATATCTGTAAAATTGATATGCCTCGACAAAGTTGAACTTAACTGTTCAATCACCACACTAACATAACAAGATTGACTGTTGTCAAATTATTTTACTATTTTAGTTCAAATAATAATCACACAATTATTACAGTGTTATGATCTTACTAGCAGTCCCTATAGACCCAAATGCTAACACAATCCTAAATGAATATATGAAAGTAAATAAATTGTACCTGACCTTTTAAACAAAGAATAAACGCAACAATAACATTTCTTACACAAATCAGAAAGTGATTAAATTTCAAATATCATAAAACAATTTAAGTGCTACAGCACGTATACCAAAACCAGTAAGATGCTACAACACTATAAAAATATAGCGGAAAATGGAATTTATGAAACTGTTACAACACTATGTAAAACATATGAACTAAAGATCTGGAAATTTCAGATTAAATTTTCAAATCAATGATTAACAAAAGAAACTAAGTTTCTAGAGTATACACTAAACAGTCCCAAAATAATTTGATTCAAGGGATTTGATCTCACATGAAGAACTAGATTTTTCTCCAAGAAAAGGATACACCCACCACTAAGAAGGAGGATTCACGATTTTGGTACAAAAAGAATCCTAGAAATTCTTCACTCGAGGAGATACACACACCCGGTTCTTTCTTTTTTCTTTTGGATGGTGTATGGAACAGAGGTGTATCGAACAGAGAGACAAAATGCCTTTTCCTTTTCTCAAAAGTTTAAAGTCAAGAGAGCAAAAAATGAATCACGAACCAATGATTTCTAGAGAAAAAGATGAGAGCCAGTGTTTTCATATTTTAAAACTAATTTTTAATATGAAATAGTTTTTATTTAGTTTTCATATGTTTCTTTTTAAAACTGATTTTTCTAATTGATTTTAAACCAAACCCTTAAAAAAGTTAATTTTAATGTGAAATGCATAAAGCTAAATGCATGTAATGCAATAAAGCTCATAGAGACATTATGTGATATAACGAAGCGTGTAACAAATTTAAAATATAAAAATATCTAATATATATACTTCTTTGCTTCCAATCTTCAATTTAAAATCTCCATTAAACCTTGACATCATCCAAACATTTTAGCAAAATCTTTTTTTCTTTTTTGAGTAAACTCAAGGATATCCTTCAGCCGTAACCGAGAACTAATCCCTTTTCGAGCATGGATCTGACCCTTTCGGGAGTGACTCTCCCAAATCTTTTTTTTCTATTCCAACTCGAGATCATTGATTAAGGATCCAGATTCCTTCCACTTGTACCAAAGGAGTTTGGTTAGCAAAATCTTTTAGCACGACACTTTAGTAGTACTTAGGAGGTCCTTCAGACTTGAGAGATCAAAAAGTTTCGTGAAATATCATAAAGACATCATTGCCTTGTTAAAAGTTAAAAAGTGGTGTACATATGGATTTCTTTGCCAAAACCATTTGAAAATGTTCCGCCAACGTACGACTCCGGTCCCCTCATTACCTACCTAAAGATTTCAAGAAACCAGGAATAGCTCTTCACTGAATCACTTGTCTGAATATAAGAAAAAGTTCTGTTATGTTAATTATAGGCTTTTTGACCCTTATAATCTTTTATTAATAATTAATTATCAAATTGACTTTTATTTTAAACTATTTCAAAAATTTAACCCCCTCCAAAAACATAACATCAATCTGCCCCTGTTTGACCGTTGACTACCAAGCTTACCCAGGTACACCCCTCCCTACCCGGGTAGGAAGGGGTGTACCCGGGTATATTTCTTGAGATCTGGAAAATTGCTTGAACTATTTACCCGGGTAAGGAGGGGTGTACCCGGGTAAATTGCTTGATTTGGTTGAACAGTGATGAGAGGCTCCATTTGGGGAAAGCGAGCAATGAGTTGAGAACGTTTTGTGACTCCTGAATGACCTCCCACTACCGGAACATCAACCTCTCTTGGATCAACTCTCAGTACCTCTGCCTGCAAGAAAAAAACATGACAGGACCAACACCAACCTTACTCATGCAATTCCACTAAAGTAGCATTGTAAATAAATCTCACAATATGGAAATATCTGTTATGTCCAACCCATTGTTATAATTATAAATATTTCTCAAAAAAACTTAAATAAACTAATTGGATCTAACAGTTAACATTTAGGAGTTATGTGAATCCTCATTAGTTATAGATTCAAGACCTTGATTATATTTTAAACTTTCTGTCTCCTTTTCGATATTTTAGTTCTGCAACACAACAAGAAGGAAATTTAATTATGGGGCATAGGCTGTTTAAATAAGAACAGGAAAGCAATGCTTACCACAAAAGTATTTTCCCTCACACCGTCAAGGGTTGTAACACCCAGGAGCCGCTTTGGATCATATGTACCAGCTTTCTTAAAAACCTAAGCAGCAATTGCAACAGTGGAATTCACTGGATTGCTAATCAAGTTGACAATAGCATTGGGGCAGCACTTGGCAATTCCTTCACAAAGGGTCCTCACAATTCCAACATTTATTTTAAATAAATCATCCCTTGTCATTCTAGGTTTCCTTGGCACACCAGCAGGTATAACTACTAAGTCCATGCCAATGAGTGCACTCTCAAGTTGTGGCTGCCCCAAAAAGCCACGAACCTAGAAGCCCCCAAAAAAATTTGCATTATTCGAACACATAGCAGCTAAACCAAGATAAGTTCCAGCATCAATTTAGGCTATAAAACAAGGCAAAACTGCTACAGACACATATTTACCCGGGTACACCCTCCTTACCCGGGTAAATAGTTCAAGCAATTTTCCAGATCTCAAGAAATATACCCGGGTACACCCCTTCCTACCCGGTTAGGCATAAAATTTCAAAAAATATCCGGGTAGGGAGGGGTGTACCCGGGTAGGCTTGGTGGTCAACGGTCAAACAGGGGCAGATTGGTGTTATGTTTTTGGAGGCGGTTAAATTTTTAAAATAATTTATAATGAAGGTCAATTTAGTAATTAATTATTAATAAAGGGTTATAAGGGTCAAAAAGCCATTAATTATAACATCATGATTAAGCAACTATTCATACCATCACACCTTTGATATGCACATCCCATATTAAATGTAAAAAAGGTTATGTCAAGGCCCTCATGGGGAATTAAGCTATTTCATTTACAACGCAAGGTCGTAGTTTGTATCAGTTTCAAGAAGAGCTAAACTAAATTGTTATGAAGACAATACAAATGACACTTTCTAATGTAACACACACGTAAGAGTTTGATTTTAGAAGATGCATCTTGGATAGTTGCGCTGTATTAACAAACACGTAAGGGAGCCAGACTATTTGGAGACAAGAAAAGTGTTAGATACTTTTTCCAAAAGGTTTGACTTTGCAGTCTTGGCAACGTCAATAGGAGATTCTTCTCTTTTTTATTTTTAATTAAAAGTGATACTTTAGTAAAAAAACAACTTTTAAATAACAATAGCTCAGTTGATTACTGTTTTTAAAAATAATTTTTTAGTTTTCAGAAGAAAAAAAAAAAAAACTCGTTTGATAAAGTTTGTTTTGCAAAAAATATTTTAAAAACTATAATTGTTTTTTTGTTTTTAGAATCAAATTTAGAGAACAGACATTATTTTTGTTTTTTGTTTTGATTTTTAATTTTCAAAACAAAAAAAATACAAAAAATAACTGTTTCTATAACTTTTCTACATAACAGTTTTAAGAACAAATTAAAAAATCAAAATATAATCAAACAGGCCCAATGTTTCCTAATTGTTAATTTTTTTTATTGAAGTGACATTTCCTAAAGTCAAATAATGAGGGGAGTGAATTTTCTTATGTATTAATTAGCATTATCATACCACGTAGAGAAATCACAATCATACAAAAGTGGATCAATGGTAAAATTGAAAGAAAGAGAAAAAATATTAAAATAATTAATTACAAAATATCACCATTAATTAAACTTTATATAATTATAATTTTTTTATATAACATAATCACATAAAATTAAATACGAGAAGATCAATTTAAAAAAAATGAGAGACTCCAGTACGTGCCAAAATCAAAAAATAGTAAAATAAATAAATAAATAAAATATGATGAGATTGAGAATAAAGAACAATGACACAGAAGAAAAAAGAGAAAAATGAAAAAGATAAAAGGACAACACAAGCTGCCAAATTCTCTGACAAACTCTTCTTTACCTGCTTTATCCCTATCCTAACCCTCCATTTGTTATCAAAACCCATTTATTTATTTATTTTTCATTTTCCATCGTTTTTCCTCGCACAATACTAATAACAACCCACTTCATAGTTCACATATTCAGCTTAGAAGTAAATAAAAAAAAATAAAAATGCAATCATTCACTTCAATTCTCGCGTGCATTGTTTTCTTAACCTCAATATTACACGTTTCACATGCTCTGGAACACGGTGGCGGTGACTACCCTTCCTCCACCACCGTCCCTGCATCTCCGACTCAAACACAGACCCAAATCTGCCGTCTCGACCTCTCCAACGAGCTATTCGGCGGCGTCAACGACGCCTGCGGCAAAAACCTCGACCGCAGCCGGTGCTGTCCGGTGCTCGCGGCTTGGCTTTTCGCAGCTCACGCACGAACGGCTCTGGAGGTTTCTGCTCCGGCTCCGGCGACCTCCGGCGATCTTCCGATGATGCCAAACGACGACTCGCAGAGATGTGTGAACTCGCTCCAAGACTCGCTTCGTAAACGAAACATTCAAATCCCACAACCCAACGCGAGCTGTGACGCCATAATGTGTTTCTGTGGGATCAGGCTTCACCAGTTAAGTTCCCTGAATTGTCTCTCTGCGTTTAACGTTTCTTCTTTAATTCGCAACGTCTCTCGTGCTCAAAACGCAACCCCTAGTGCTGCCGTTCGAAACTTGGAGAAGAATTGCCGTAACTCTTCCTATGCTGGTTGCACCAAATGCCTCGGTGCCCTACAAGAGGTTATAAATTATTATCCCTATTTCATGCTTGCCCTTTTCCTTCGTGTCTTTGTCGGATTTTGCTAAAGTTGATCTTTCATTGAGAGTATATTAATTTGGGGCATATGATCATAATGCAGCCTTGAATTTTATTTTTTTAAATTTAATTAGTTGAATACTAATGTTGGCCTAATTAGGAATGTCATGAATATGAAAATGGAGTGGAAGTAACTCACCGTTACGAATATTAACAGGGCAAGCAAGTCGAGTCGAGATTTTATCTGGTGTTTAAATGTGTCAGTCTGATCTGACGAAACTTATTAGCTATTATGAATATAATTATTGATCAATGGCTTGATTTATTTACAAAAAACAAAAACCTGATTTAGCCTATATAAAAAAATAAGACAATAAAAATTTCTCCAAACAGAATATACAATCAACATCACTAATAATTTCATAAATATTCGTAAATTCAATGTATATCCAAACAACATAATATAAAATAAAATCATTCGAAATGTCTATTTAACCAATAAAATAGGATGCAATTGATTAAGGAGAGAGATATTATAAGTAGTATAAAAAATATAAAATAAAAATTAATATATTAGGCCAACAACCAATTTTAGACATATAAATTCAGGCCTTCACGAGCCGAGCCAAATGTCTCTGGTTCGTTTAGTACCTCTGCTCACCATGGAAATTAGAAAAATGAATTTTTATTTTAGTGCATGTTATCCTTGCACCCTTATAAAAATAATAAATCTTATACTAATTCTCATTATCCAAAATCAGAGTTATTAAATATTAATAAAATCAACATCTAATATTAAAAATATAATTTATAGATATAAAATGACTATAACCCATTTTTACTATGTCTCATTATAAATGGGAGTAAAATTAATTTACACTTAAGAGTCACAACTCTTACGAAAGATGAAGAGGCTCAAATCTAAAATTGGACTAATCGGACCGATTAGGATTTTTTACATCCACTAGTATTTTCTAAAAAAATAATTTAATATCAAATGAAAAAATCTTATCCCAATCTAAGACTACTTGCATGATTCAAAATGATCTCAACAAATAATTGCCAATTGCTAGAACCTTCTCCTTTTTCCAAATGGTGGGCACAGGACCTAGCTATAATATAGGCTTAACTTTTACATTGTCTACGATTTGGTCTAAGCCAACGATTTGTTATTCATGATCTTGATTAATCCTGTTTTTAAAGTATTGAGTGAAATAAGGTTTGGTTGATTAACACACAGGTAAAAGTATACAAGAAGGAGAGCAAGGAGAATGAGAGGGCTAGGAAGATGTTCAACCGAGACTGCCAACTGATGGCTCTGACATGGCTTCTAGGGAGGAACAAAACGGCGTATATACCAACTGTTTCGGCGGTGTTGCGTGCAGTTATGTACGGAGCTCATCCACACGAAACCAAATGTAGCCCTGACCAGGAGAACATGCCCTTGGCCGTTGATTCTCTGCAATTCGAAAAGAGCCAGGCCTCATCTTCGCCGTTGATATTACTTTGGATAACGCTTGTGCTTGTGCCACTGATCGTCCTGAACTCTGCTTCTGTTTGAACTTGAAGGTTCCCCCTAGCAGCTCGTGATGAGGGTCCTCTTCTCTTATCACGTGAAGCTATTGGACAAAAATATGCAATGAGGTCTTTCTGAGTTTTTGTCTTTTCTCACTGTAAATTTCGTACTTCATTAACGATTTTGTCTATTCATGGTGCGAGTGCGACTAGGAATGCCATTTTACATTTCACGTGTCCTTTTTGAGCTTGTATATAGTTGCTAATATTTTTTTTCTCTCTTTATGGAATATATTAATTATTTTAAATGTATTTATCGTAGTTAGAGAACCAAATCTGCAATAGATTTTTTTTTTTTTTTATAACAAAATCTGCAATAGATTTTACAATATTTCTGATAAGGTAGGCAGCAATCATAGGACATTAATATGGCTGCTAGTTAGAGCTCAGAGGATAAAGAATGGGTTTACGTAACTGATGGTGTCAAGGACAATGGTTAATTTTTTTTTCCTGTAACAACAGTTTTTTTTTTTTTTTTTTGGATCAAATGTCACGTTAAGATAAAGAATGGGTTTACGTAACTGATAGACTGATAGTGTCAAGGACAACGGTTGATTTTTTTTTTTTTTGATAAAATTTATTTTTGATCAAATGTCACATTAAAACCTTAGTCCAAACTCGGCACAGGGGATAAGCGGCTTGAACCCCTTTAACTAGAGGTCTCGAATTTAAGCATTGAGAATGAAAAAAAAGATTTGGGAGAGCCGTCCTCCAAAAGGTCCGATAGTGCTCGATAAGGATTAGTCTTCGGTTATGACCAATGTTTAAAAACTCGGTCTGACCATCGACTCGGTCGAGGTCAAAGGTCACAGGTTTAACTAGAGAGTCATGAACATCACTTCGCTGACCCAACTTTATATATTAAAAAATATAAATATATATCCTATATGAAAAATTCAAAAAATCAAACTACCAATCATCAAAGATTCAAAATATATTTAACATAATTCAACCAATTACATCCACAAGTCAATATTACACAAGCTAATCAAAGTATAAAACACATATTCTCATGGAGTTAATGAAAAGTTATATCATCAAAGTTAGGCTCACCTTATCCTTCTCACGCACCTACAGTAACATATAAAAGGAGATCCCTTACCCAAGAGAGAACGACAGAGGAGATGTGGCGGCGCGAGGAATCAACGGGGGAGAGAGAAGAACTTGCATGGCAAAAGAGAGGGAGAAAAAAGACCGAAAAAGATAGGAGGAACCGCCACCACAGCGGAGGAGAACATTGGATAAGGAGACTGGGTTTGGGTCAGTGAGAAGATCGAAAGAGAAGAAAAAGAACATTTCACATTTCAGATCTAGTTCTAGATCTAGGCAACAACGACTTTTTGTTTTTGTTTTTTTGTTTTTTGTTTAACACACCAATGACCAAACAACATCTTTTCGTTTGTAATTTTTTAAAAAAATAAAAATTAAGTGACCCCCTTTGACCCAGGAGTCTCAGAATCAATTAATCGAGAGATTTCGGGGGTCAAGGACTTGGGGGGGTCAACGTGCATGCAGGGTCTAACTGCTGACCCCAACCCTAAGAGAGAGAGAGAGAAGGGGGGGGGGGTCAGTGACCCGATGGAATTGACCCGTAGACAGGGAAGAATTTTAAAACACTGGTTACGGCCGGAGAATACCATTAAGATTACTCAAAAAAAAAAAACCCTTAGCATTCATTCACAGAACAATGCTTAATAATTAAAATAATCATTTTCCTTTTTATTTTATGAGTTTTATTATTAAAATTGTGATATAATCCGATTAAAAAATTACTTTATTTTTAGAAAAGTTAACTTTTATACATTTTCATTCCAATTCTTTGATTACTTTATAATTATAACCATTTTTACCCAATTCATCATAATGCATCAAATATTATACAATTTTAAAAAAATATAAGACTTTGTTTTTTTAGTAACTAAATATACGACTATTTTTAGTATAGTAAACATAATAATAAAACTAATTTTATCACAATTATTGAATTTTTTCACATCTAATCTAAATACACTTTCAAATCAAAACAATTAAAAGTGATGAAAAATAAATAAATACTTATGTTGACCGAAGAAACGTATGTAATTAATATTTTTTAAAATAAACTATTACAAATCTTGTTTGTGCTGTCTTTTATCCTCAACTTTTTTCATTTAAACTTAGATATTTGATTTTGTATACCTGTTACATTCACCTCTAGTCATTTTTTTTCTTACTCTTCCTTTATACAATTTTGAAACAACTTCGTAACATTACGAGGAAAGGAATCTTCAATATTAGTCTTGAGTTTAAGAGTGAGGAGAAACTTCACAAAGTAAAATAGGGAAAAAAATGAAAATTCTTTTTTAGTCAAACTTGTAAATCAAAAATTAATATTCTTTTATCAAGGTTCTAAGCATTTAGAACAACCAGATTGTGCTCCGATACAGTCGAAACTTGTGAATCACAAAATCACAAGTACCATACAGTCTGGGCTCAAAATCTTTTCTGTGAAAGCATATTTGATTTATAATGTAGGGATTTGAAGTCCATTAGAAGCAACTTATGGTTTGGGCCTAACTGACATCCAAACGAAAAATAATATATGAAAAGACCTTAGATCTTTAATAACATAATAATAATAATAATAATAATAATAACATAAAAGGAAAACCCACTCTTTCAGGGTTAGTCAAACCAATTGGATTAGACCCAAATGGAAAGAAAGCCCAAGTGGAGGATGTATAATTGGTCGATTGGGCTTGGATTCAGAGGTTGTTAACTGCACGCAAATTTAAAACAGACCACATCGGAATTCGGATGATGTATTTTTTTTTTTTTTTTAAATATTCTAATTGGTTCATTCTTTCGCAACTAATTTGATTTGCGACGGGTCCAGGATTAAAGCTTAAACCCCTCCCAAAAGTGATATTGGGGAGACCGATGATGTATCTTTATAACATGCTTTACTCTGCAGATGTAGGTACCAATTGGAACTTCCACAGTCCTGGATCAATTAGGAATGGTTTCTTATGTGACTGTTTCAATTGAAATCATTCTTATACCATGACAAAAGAACAAACCCAAATCCCGCCTAGTAACAAAGAATAGTATAAATATTACAAAGAGAATGTCATGTATCTAATATTAGATTACGAATTTAATATGAATGAAACACCAAAATTAACCAATTCATTATTTTTTTATTTAGCAAAAGAACACGCAATAAACTATAAACAATGGTAAAAAATTTTTTACAAGTCCCCACATCAGAACCATTCTCTAGTTTGGCATGATTGAGATCTCACCACCCTTTACCTATTAACCACAGCCAGTCAAGTGTCACCCCTGCAAATATACCTCCAAGTAGAAACAACACCAACAGGTTTCCCAAGGCATTTTGTTCTGGACCCTACAAAAAGTCAAAAAGTTGAATATTAATGTGTCTCAAATTGAATTCTAAAACATGCAAGTCATTGTGACTGTATTTAACACTTAAATAGATTCACCTTGTAACCTTTGGGTGCAGATGTGAGTACACACACAGTGAGGTAACCATTGGATAACCCCAAGAAGGATGTCAACATTATCATCCAGCCTTGGTCACCATAATTTGCAGTGAAATAAAATGCTGGAACAAGTAAGTATCGACAAAGAATTGCTATCATTATCAACTTTCGGGACTCCAACTTCAAGAATTTCAAGAGGGGAATGTATCTTCCTATTAGATCCCACACATTATACATTGCAATTAAAACAAGTGCATACCTGAAACAATTGGAAATATAAACTGTTACAAATGGTACATATAATCACAGAATGCATATCTTGGCCTATTGTTTTGTGTATGGTTGGTTATAAAGGAACAGGAATGAAGCTAGAACAAGGGCATTAAACAAGCTATGCCATAATGAACATACCAGGTGCCTAAACTATGTGATCCAGTATCTTCTGACAGGAATCCAGGGAAAATAGATAGTGTCAGCACATATATTAGGAACATATCAAGTGCATAATCAATGTTTTCCAATAACAATTGCTTGATTCCCTTCCTCTCTTGTTCTTTTGCATATTCCTCACCCTGAAAAAAATAAAACAAAAAGTCCTTATTGCAAAAGCTGAATCCTGAACAATAAGAAAGTTTTGGGACATATTGGAAAGCAAAAAAGAAGAAGATAGAAACAGTACTCCTCCAGGTAAAGTCTGGATGCCACCAGCTGCAAGGTCAGCTGAAACGGTTTTAGATCCTTCTGATGCTGCTTTTGAACGGTAGTACTTCACAATTGGTAGTTTAGGAAAAACAAATGCATAGAGAAGAACACAAAGAAGCTCAAAGAATGTTGATATGGCAAAGAACAGAACTGCAAGGATAGTATAACATGAAAAGTGATCAGTAACTAAATAGTATGGGGAGTTAGGATGGTCATAACTATATATAGTTCAATGGCAACAAACAAGAAATGGAACCATCATCACAGAATCACGGTGAATAAGAAGAAGTGTTTACATTGTTGGTCTAAATAACAAAGTGACTTCAAATTCATAAGGCACATTATATTGCAATAACATGGTACTAAAAGAATTCAGGTATTGGAGAGTTGAACCTACTGGCTCCTTTGCGAAGACCATCCTTAGAATTCTCAAATGCTGCTTTTGTAATTAACCTCAAAGCAGAGGTTAATGCACCGGATGCTGCCAAACCAGCAAGGAAAGACTATAACAATAAAAATATAAAACCATATTAAATAAATTCATATGCTGAAGGCAGCTTTAATAATTTCATAGTAATTATATTACTGCTGCTGACCTGAATGAATTCTGAACTCATGAAGGACAGGTCTCCCACCATTCCACCTTGAACATGAGCATCAGCAACTCCAAAAGCACCACTAATTGCACATATACCAATGAAAGTTCCAAGTCCCCCTTTACCAGATGTTGCTGCATTCACCTATGGCAGGTTGATAGAAAAAGTAGAATCAAAACCATCCTAAAGGAAACAAAGTTCACAAACAAGTGAATAGGACTTACAATTAACACCAACAAAGTGCTTATGAAGAAAAGAGTATATCCAAATAGGTTCCGTAATCGTGTATTGATTTTTGCTTCATTATAAGCCAGTATTGCAAGTGTTCCAACTGCAAATGGCTGATATACTAGAGTAAGCACCCTAGGGGGGTGATATTTCTGCACAAGGAGAAAATTAAATTAAACTATTTTCTTTACCAAGACAAATCTATTATTAAACAATTACAACATCTAAGAAGCACAAAATAGAGTATTAAAAAAATGTCACGAGTTTGATTTTCACTGCATTTATTTTTCTAATAAATATCAAAACTACATATCATAAATTTCAAAGGACATTTTTTATTCTTTTGCTTATATCAGGAAGCTTGTTTATTTCAAAATATGCAAGTTTGTTGAGGAGAGACAGACTTCAGGGTTCTTAGCTGCCTGAACCAATTCTTTGACAGTTGGCAGGTGATATGATGAGGTTCTATGAAGCACCGATACGCGTTTTCGATACGTTATTCGATGATACAGAATGTAGATTACCAAACAATACGTTTCCGATACGCATATCCGATACGTTGGCAAAAAAATTTAAGAAGTATCGGTGCTTCTGTTTGCTAAAATATGGAGCTTTAATTGACAGAAAAATGAAATTTCAAAGAAGTGGTCCAAATTGGAATTGTGCCTGATTTCAATTTTGCAAACTGGCCTGAAAGTAATGCTTGCTATACTATTTAAATGAGAAGTCAGATAAGCAGAAAAATGCATGAGAAATATACAACATTTACCGGAAACAAGTAAACGTAGTAATCTTCTATTGTCAGCATACTGTTCCATGAGAAAAGACATCCATTGCCAAGAAGCCAGCACACAACTATTGCAGCATATTTTCCCTATTAATGCCAAGAAATGGAAATTAAGAAATAATTCACTTTCCCTTCATTAACTAAAGTAGTAATAGATCCAAGCACAAACCTCAAGACGTGTTGGATGCTCACTGTTTACCATGGCAGCTGTTGATGCCTTTTTTGAATCAAGTTCTACAAGAAAGTGAAAAACTTCAAGGTTATATAGAGCAGCATATATGATGATTCAATTTGTACATAATCTACTTGAAATACAGCAGATACTAACTACTAAGCCACCCCAGGACCCACCTATCTTTGATTTTTAAATCCTTGTGCCATGTGCCACTCAAACAAGTCTTATCACCCCAGGAAGAGAAGAAAAGACAGGCATTTGTAAAAATTGAAAAGTGTCTCTGGAATTAAAAAATATTAAATAAAAATAGAGATATCTAATATATTAGGATTTGGAGTAATGATGATGTTCACATTTGATATTTAATATATTAAGAATTTAAAAAATATATAATATTTTTTAATTAATTATGTAAAGAACCTTGAGATACACTACCCCAAAAGCTAGCTCAAAGGGTGGGAGTGCCCAAGGCCTTATAAACTCCACATTAGTTGCACATACAACCAATGTGAGACTATATATCTCAACACGCCCCCTCACACAAGAGCCCATTGGGCTTGAAGAGTGGACAATGCAACAGGCCAAACCTACCTGTGCTAAGAAACGCCACAAGAGAAAGTGGGAGGCGGCGAGGCTCTGATACCATGTAAAGAACCTTGAGATACACCACCCCAAAAACTAGCTCAAAGGGTGGGAGTGCGCCTTATAAACTCCACATTAGTTGCACATACAACCAATGTGAGACTATATATCTCAACAAATTAGTAAAATTTATTCATTAAATACATTACTAATAAAGGATATTAGAATTGCTAAAGAATATTACTTAACAACACCCTTAAAATAATAGTAATGAAGAGATGGCATCTATACACTCAGTGGAGTTGCCTAAGTCAACGCTTCTATTTCGGGTTTAACGAGTATAATCTTGCATGATGTAAGAAAATTTTTCTACACTCACAATAAAGAGAAGAGAGAAAGTGAAATAAAAAAAGAGAAAAAAATATATATGAACCCCACCTCTTAGTTGTGTGTGTAGAAAATTTTTCTTAAGTCATGTAACATTATACTCATGAAACCTTCTTTTATATATTATGAGCCCACGATTATCGCAATATTATAATTCTTGAGCAGCGCAGGCATTGTTAGTTAAACACGTTAAAAAAAACACATAATTTATAAGATTTGTTTTATTTTTATTAATAAAAAATGAGTAGGGTTATATTGATAAAAAAAAATTTCTGATCGATAATACACGTAGTGTAGTTTGTAAGCAAAAAAATTATAAATATAACCTTCCATGTAAAAAAATATATATTTATTTTACCAAAAATGTTGAAAAAAACGAACAAACCAAAACATTTCATTTCTTTAAGTTCGTTGTGTCAAATGCTTCTTAAATAATCTATTGCGGAACTCCTGCTACTATTACAATAATCCAATACCCAGTGATGAAATAAATGAGCAATATGCAGGAATAGAGACCAACTATTTGATTTTGAGAACATACGGGAAAAGTGTGTGTATTTTGAAAGACACATACTCTTTTTAAAACAGATAGTCACATAGAAGACACCATTTTTCCATACAAAAATATTATCATTTTCGAGGCAATAAGCGTTAATAGAAAATCCGTTGACAAAATAAAAGTAAATATTAATTGTGCAAAAGACATGTAAGAAATCAATTCTTCCTTAAGCTTAAAGACAAAATTGATCCGAAAGATGGTTTTATGATATCTACAATTTTTATTTTTATTTTTTGCTATTTCCAAGGGTGGCTTTCTTATTTTCTGAAACGGGGAGAGATAGTGGATAAGAAAAATAAATTAAAAAAAAACCATGAAGGGACACAGCATAGCACCAAAATTGAATGAAGGAAGAAGAAAATGAAATAGTAAAGGGAGAGAGAACTCACAATATTAGTGTATTACTGCAAGGTAACCCAGACGAGCGGAGAGGAAGAGAAAGAGATGAGAGGAGAGAACCAGAATCAATTATTCGATCCAATGGCCGTGTACTGCAATAAGTCAAAGGTGAAAACTAGAGTTTCGTAATCTTTGAAATCAATATGCTCGAAAAGAATCAATATCTCCAATTATATTTGTTTACATAATACAGTTGTATTCTTTTTTTGGTTAATAATCAATTCATTACAACTTGGCCGTCACTGTTGCGATTACTCTTTAGTCTTCATATTGGTGTCAGCGTGGCTATCTAAATTTTGACAAAAGTTACATATACTTTATTTTATTTCTATTATTATAATAAATATAAATGGGGTGGAAACGGTTGAGAGAATTTTGTTTCCCTATATAGATTGAGGAATAATATTTTTACTACTAAATTTTTTTACTATTAATTTACTACCCATTTAATCGCCATTGAATCAAAGAGAGAATACTAAAAAAAATTTGAAAAAAGAGAAAATATTGATCCAATAATAATTAGATAGGTAGTGAGTTGGTAGTAAAAAATCTTGATAGTAAAAATATTCCTCCTTATATAGATTTATTCGACTGGTCACGAATTAATTGGAATTTAAAATCATTCTCAGATTCTTACCCAAAAAAAAATAAAAATCATTCTGAGATATGGAAAGTTTTATAAAACAAAATGCAGAAAAATATTTCTGCAGGAGGTAATGCAGATAAGTTATCTGCATTTACTTTCAAAACGATGTCGTTTTGGAATAATATCATAATTTGTCTCAAAACGATGTCATATTGGACTTACTGCAGATAACTTATCTGCAGTAATTGCAGATAATCTTGAAATAAATTAAAATTACAAAAATATCATAATTTTTGCCCCAAAACAATGTCATATTGGACTTACTGCAGATAACTTATCTACAGTAACCTGCAGAAAAACGAACCCAACAAAACGAAGAGCAAATAAGACTCAAATCCAGGCACTGAAAAAAAAGAATGTAAATTCTTATTTGAAACTTTTGAGCTTCTCAAACCAGCCAGCTACTAGATTACAAAATAATCATTATATAATTTTTACACTATTATTTAATTAATTATAATTGTACCATGTGAACTATGGTTGAGGACGGTTATGGATGGCTTCTTTGTGTGTTTCAGGGGACAAGAGGTGATTGTGTAACTAAGAAATTGAGATAAAAATTAAGGTGGAATATGCAATAAAAAAAAGGTGTGTACATAAAGGTATGGCCTTTGTATATATAAGAAAGGAAAGCCTATTTATAAAAAGATGGGTTTGACACACCTTATCCCAACGAAGGAGACGTATCCGCCGCTATTTTAGAAACTACCCCAAACAAAGCTCCTGCATTTGTCAACAACTTCACAAACACTGAATAGGTTGACCTATAAACTAAACTATCAAGTGATTCAGTTGAAACATTGGAGCGATTATTCATTTAATTCGGTATAAAATTGATGAATTAGTTTTGAATCGGGTTCAACTGGTATTAAACTGTCACATGTTTATTTGAAAAATCAATTTTGTTGAATTTTGGACGAAATACTTGAAAGATAACACTAATGAGATTCGAACCTAGGGGAATGATATTGTAACAATCAAGTTGTGTTACTATCAAGTTACTACCAATCAATCTCACCGTTAGATCGATTATGTTGATCCAACGGTTATATTTATTTTCATCTTTGCATAGTCATGATTTCTCAAATTTAATACTTTATATTTATTTCCACCTTTGTATGGTTATGATTTCCCATATTTAATGCTTTCACTTTAAATATGGGGAATCATAACCATTCAAAGATGAAAATATATATAACCGTTGGATCAACATAATCGTTCTAACGGTGAAATTGATTGATAGTAACCTGGTAGCAATACAACTTGGTTGTTACAATATCATTCTCCTAGGTTATATTTATAAATTTTTTATTTATAAATTTTTACAAATTACACTATGTGCTACAAGTAGGACATACTCAAATAAATATATTATCCGTATTACATAATATATTTTGTAAACAAAAAATTTATAAATATAATCCTCTTTCAATTACCATAAATTAAAACACGGACTTATGCTATAAAATATTGAGTCTTAGTTCTTAAAAATAAAATAAAATTGAGTTTGTTGCATATACTAAATGATGTTCACTTATATTATCAAAAAGAAAATGATGTTCACTTATATAGGTCTTGGGCCTGGTCAACCATGTTCCAAACAAATTAAATGGGATAATCAATGAATTAGTTGAGAGTTTTTTTTTTTTTTAAAACTAAGTTATAATTTAATTGTTATGATAATTAAACAATAGCATAAATATTATGTAGTAAAAAATAAATCAAAATTAAGTATTATAATATATACAATAAAACATCGATTTTAAATTACAGTGACTACACCAGCAGCTATATAAAAAGAGTTTTATGTTTATCATGTAACATGATATAACATCACTTTCCTACACACACATTAAAGAGGTGGGATCTACATGTTTTTCTTTCTCTTTCATCATTTCACTTTCTCTCTCCATTTTTGTGTGTGTTGAAAACAACACTTAAATCATGTAACATAACACTAATAAAACCCATATAAAAAACCATAAACGTTATAAAACGCATTGTAAGAATTCTAAAGGTTCAATATTTGGCAGCACTAAGCTATGCTTTGCATTAAATGAAATAAATAAAAAATAGAGAAGGACCGGGGGGAGGGGATACCCAGAAAGTGAAAAATTACAGGGAAAAAAAGTACTCATTTTAAGGTTCCTTCTCATCCTATAACTAAGAGCTTCAATTGACAAAATATTGATATGATTACAAGATGTGTATATGCATTAATACAAAACAGATTGTTAGAATTTCAGATTAAATATATATTACCTATGATGCACCGACACCGACACGGGACACGACACGACACGCTGACACGTTAATTTTAAAAAAATATCATATTTCGACACGTTGAGACACATTTTGATATTAAATAAAATTTTTAATATATATAATATAATATATATTTAATACATATAAGAGTTCATAATAAGTCATAATATAACCAATCAAATATTTAAATTTCATAACATAAATATAAATATAAATAATTTTTCGTACTTTGTTAATTTTTCATGACAAATTTCGTAACAGAAAAAAATTAATTTATAAATTAATTTTTTTATATTTAGTTAATAAAATAAAATTAAGATTAAAAAAAAACGTGTCGGAGCGTGTAGGAGCGTTGACCACGTGTCGGAAAAAGTTGACTGTGTGTCGAAAAAACGTGTCGGAGCGTGTTGGAGAGTTGACCGCGTGTCCCTAATGTTGACTGCGTGTCGGAGTGTCCGACACGCAAATTTTCCAAAAACATCTGTGTCCGTGCTTGTTAGTATATTACAATAGATAGACGGCTTTAAGAAGTCTAAGCCCAACATGGAGCGTCACCTGTTCTGAAATCTGTTTCAACCCAAGGAACAAATGCGACCTTCCCATCATCCATATCAGAATGCACCAATGCCAGAGACTGTCCAACAAAAACGAACAAAAATATTCATTACTAAACCAGTAACAGATAAGTGAATAAAATATAACTGAATATTGAACCATTACTGGTTTGGGATAAAATTGATGTTTGTGTTGATTGAACACTATTGGTGTTGTTAAAAAACTAATGATAAGAAGTCTGAACGTATGCTCATTAGTCAAAACATTAGCAGCTAAACGAACTTGTCAAAAGGTTTTCCAATTTGCAGTAGGCCCTCTCACAACTCTTCCCTGATCATTGTACTGAGATCCATGGCAGGGGCAAATGAACTTGTTCTAAGCTTTGTTCCATGGCACAACACACCCAAGGTGAGTGTACACGACATTGTTGGGTTGCATCAGAGCTCTTATTGAAAGGGTCAGTAGAAAGCAATTGGGCTTCTGTTCCCAGGTGAGCGGGCGGGGGTCCGGGGGAGCCGCCCTGGAGGGGATGTAGGGGCAATGCCCCCTACCCTATAGAGGCCTGGTACTGTTGTGGGCTTTTGTAATTTTATTTTTCTTAGTAGTTTGGGCTTGGGCCCATGAATAGCTGTTGTGAGGGTTTTCTAAATCTTATTTATATTCCTTTATAAACTGAGTGACTTATAACGAGTGGTGTTGGGGTAAATATAGTACAGACAAGCTATACGTAATTTACATTGGGAGAACCAGGGTAAATCACTGTGTCAATTTCTCTCTTCCCTTTCTCTTTCCTTTTTCGATTTGTGTGTATGTCGATTTCCAACAAGCATAAAGTTTTGTCTTTCTCCACCACGAGATAGGTAGATTCTCTCTGTAAAAAAAGGGTTGGCAGGATTCAAATTATGTAATGATCAAAATAGTTATTATGGTTGGAAGCTTGAGAAGGAAATCATTTTCAATTCTAAAAGGCCCAACCTTAGGTTTCTGTATCTAAAATAACAATTTAAGTTTCTTTTTCACTGTGACCAGAAAAATTTGGCATAGTGTAGCAAGCTAAATTTGTTGAGGAAAGAGAACTCTAAGAATTGAAGGAAAACAGCAATGAGAAATGGGATTGAAACATAGTCCTAAGAAACTATTGCTTTCAACATTACCTATATGGCATCTGTAACTTGTTGAAGATCTATGAGAATACTAAACACTAAAAAAATGTACACACACCTTCAATCCTTGTGTAAGCGTACGGTCCCCGGGTTGATGTGTGTAGAGCCATTGCTCAGCAATTACATCATTTCCAGTGGCATCCTTGGCAACAGTACCACAAGTTGAAGAACCTGACTTGTAATTTTCCCCAGTCAGGTTATGATTTGTATAGATGAATAAACTAGGATTGAAGAATCGTAAACAGCACATTGGCAGGTCAACAATTAATCATCAAACTTTTGGATGCTAAATGCATTATGTGTTGAACAACATGGTAGATTTTTCTTCTCCTTGTCTTCAACTAATAATAAATTAACAATATATGTGCCACCTTTAAACCAACTAATAGTTTAAGTGCAGAAGATAGATTTTAATGCTAACGTAGCAAGAAAGAAAAGTGAAAGAACGGAGGCAAGATTCCAAACAGTAAGAA